TTCCTTTCGGTAGCTTCGCCACATAACCGTTTCTCAGCGTTCTTGACCCGTGCAGGGGGACATCAGCCCGTCCCGTAAGCAAGGCCGTAAGTTGTAGTTCACCAAAACCTCGACCGTAGCCGGTGTGAAACGAAACCTCTGCATCGAAACAATATGGACCAATAGTGACCACATACCGCACTCATCTTCCCAGCTCGACACGCTAAGATTATGCCGATCCGACAGAGATCATTCACTCGAGAGGCGATAGCGTTCTTTGGGTAGTCGCGCATCGCAGCTTTCTCATCCATGAAGGCGACGTGTCACGCCGCTTTTAGAAACTGGACATTGGTGTTATGGCATCGGCAGGAAAGATTCTCAGTGTGCGTATCTCCGATCTGTTTTGGAATGTCCGCAAAAACCTGATTTGACGTAAAAGGAGGTGCATATCACCCACGGGTTTGACGAGCTTCCATCACTGGTCAGCATTATCCTCGTCACCAATCACTTAAAGAGTGGGTACAACGCACACCCGATCAAATCAAGGAGCACACGGGGTAAAACCGGGTAAGCCAGCACGTCGCGAGCAGCGCTCAATAGCAGCACCCCTGGGGCGTGCGTGACTAGTAAGGCGCGACTGAGGCGCCGGCGGCCAACCAGCGCCGGCGCGTCCGCTGGCAGCAGGGCCGGCCGCCGCCGAGGAGATAAGCCACGGCTGCACATCCGGGCCGCGGTTGCCCGCGCGCCCGGCCAGGCGGCGCGCAGTGACGCGCGCGGCGTGCGCAGCGCCGCCTGGCGGGCCAGCCCGGCAACAGCGCGCTTAGTGCTCGCTCCAGTTGGAGTGGCTGGTGATGGTGTCGGTCCCGCGTTTGCCGTACTTGATGTGGATGAAGAGGAAGGCGACGCCGAGCACAAGACAGATGCAGCCAACGACGATGTACGCCACGCCCAGGAACGGGTTTTTGCCGCCCAGCAGGGACGTGGTGGACAGGATGACGCGCTTGGTGCCGTCGAACGACGAGACGGGGTAGTTGTAGTCGATGGTTATGCGGTAAAGGCCGCTGGGCAGGCTGTGCTTGAATGTCTCGGCAGAGTCGTTGACGCGGGCCCAGAGCTTGCGGAAGGTGGGCAGGGCGGCGGTGCGCATCCAAACAATCAGATCCTCATTCTCGTATCCGTTGTTGTGCGCGTCCTCGGGATCAAGCTGCCACACCGGCTTCGCCCAGTTGATCGGCTTCACCGTGTCCTTAAAGGCGCCCGTGCTGTCGAGGGTGCCCGGCGGGTTCTGCCGAGCGAGAGCAGTGTCACATGAGCAGGCGCCTTTACACATGGCAGCCACAAGCCCCTGGCTGGGGACGTGAGACACTGCGGAACACGTCCCGGTCCGGTGGCCGTACCACACCCGTGTAAGCTCCGAGGCCCTCGACGACCGGCATGGCATACAGATACGTACACAAATTTTGGAAATGGATTACAGGGTGGGCCCAGAGAAAATCTGGCCCGCGATGACTCTACCTATCACTAAAAGAACGCTTCCCCACCCAACGCTTCTAGTTGCTACCTCAATACTGAGCTATTGCTCAACACATGAAAGCAGCACAGACGGTGCCGGAACAGCGTTTTCTGAAGTCAGAGATCTCCACGGTATTGCATGGATAGCGGCTGCCGAAAAATTGGCGTTGAGTTAAGTACGTAGAAAGTTGCGGAATGTCATGCAACATATTTCACATTTTCGTGTTTCCTTGCTACAAGTGAACTTTCCCCATCACAGCGCATAGCTTGCCTCAATATCTTAAAACATGAACCATTTCCTTCAATCTTGGAAAGCTTTGCCTCAGCATGGACAATCTGAGAGCCCGCAAGTATGAGTATGCTTTTACCAGGTATGTTCCGTCCAAAGCGTTCAGACCGAAGACATGCAGCAAACGAAGCATTACTGCAGTTATACGGGACTTGCTCGAGTGGAAAAGTTGCCTTTTGGGAGCATGATCTTTTTTAACTGTTTGAAAATCCTGGGATCGCAGGTCGATTTTTTCCACTAACCTGACCTGACTTGACCTGACCTGATCAAGCATCATCACACACGACAGGATACAACTAACGACCACCGACGTGACAGCTCAGTGGGAATTCGACCAAGACAAACCACATGTATTGATGAACAATGCAACATACAGTCATGTTGCAGTCCTGAAAAATGTGGGATACATTTGACAACTAAGGCAACTAATGTTAAAAATCAAGCACAAATCATGTCATCATGTCAGGCATGTCTTTCACCTCTGAACATGCATGTCTAAAAGTTCGAATGCTTTCTGGACATGCATGTCACACGTCCTAATCAGAGCTCAGCCGAGAGCTCGCCACCTTACCTTGAACTTCTGCTCCTTGTCCGAGGGCCAGGCGATCCCAGTGCGCACCAGCTGCACTGTCTGCTCTGGCCCGGGACCCAGCAGCTTCAGCTCGAACGTGTCATTGAAGAGGCTGTTGGCAATGGCGCCGCATGGCGCGATCTGCTTCCCATCCAGCTTGTCGAACGGCGAGCAGTCGGATAGCGACGACTCCTTGCCCTTCAGCTGGTCAACGTCGCGTGACTTGACGTACCGCCGGTGGTTCTGGTAGAAGTTGGTCAGGCCGTAGTACATGTAGACGCGGCCGTTGAGGCTCTCGGTCACGTTGAGCTCGATCTCGCACGTGCACGGTTCGGAGCTGTTGCGGATGACCTGTTCGCATGGCGCACCAGCGTGGCGGGGGATCGAGCTGTTGCAGTATGTGTAATCATGCACCAGCTCCTGGACGTTGTTGGAGAAGGTCAGCAGCGCGATCCCGATCGGGATGAAGGCAACGCCAATGACGAAGAAGGCTGGCAGCACAGTGCCTGCTGTCAGAATCGGCTGCCAGGCTGGCAGCTGTTGTTGTTTGAACTTGTTGCTGGAGGGCCGCTTTGTCTTGCTCTGGTCCGAGGAGACGTCAGTTCCGGCCATGGCTGCGGCGCCGACACCTCGCACCCCCAGCAGCGGTCGCAGGTGACACTCTGGGGACATACCATGGCCAACTGACACCTCAACACAGCATCACCAATGGAAAATAGACCATGTGATGACGCAGGAACACAGGTGACTTCTTACCAGTATTTAACCTCACAAAATGCTGAGGGGGAGTTAGTGATTACTTCAACTGTCTACTTCTTCTTTTTTGCCAACAGACTCTGATTACATTCAAGCTGTACACTGTTATTAACATGTTGCACATTATATTAACTGCTGTAACCAATCAGAAGCTTCTAAACTGATATTGGAAATAGCATGGCTCAATTTGCCAAGCCAATGACATACTCAAGCTTATGACATGATTGATTATGCTTGAATTGTCAATGATTAGTCAGCATCTTTGGATTTTCCCTGGATTTGAATGGACTTGACCTTCTCCACCTGAAACAATGCAGTCTATATTTTTTCTTGAAAATCTACATGCCTGCTGCTAATAGTGCACCTTGCTGCACAGGGTTTGAGAGGAGATGTGTTACTTCAGATAATGGTCATGGAGATATCTAAAATTTAACATGTTTGGAACACCTTTGATGAGCCTGTAAAATTTTTGGTACATTGCAGGTTCATAATTTTCACCACTTTCATCTATTTCCTCTCCCTAAAATCCAGCCTTGTTCATTGCAATTAATGGTCATTGTTCACATTGGCACCTTACACTGCAATATTCATTTGCTTATGAACTGATGTTTTTTAAGATATCAGACACCATAAATGATCATAAAACAGGTAAATTCTTGAGACATCTTAAAATCTTACCTTCGAGATAAAACAATTACAATGATAGTAGGTGTCAGCCAAATGCTGTTTTGTCACATTGATGGCACTGCTGCTAATGAGAAAATGGGCTGCAGGGGATTCAATGGGGAGATTGGGCAAAATGATGACAGCAAGGTTAGGTAAGGTTAGGTTAGGTTAGGTTAGGTTAGGTTAGGTTAGGTTAGGTTAGGTTAGGTTAGGTTAGGTTAGGTTTGGTTAGGTTAGGTTAGGCTAGGTTACATTAGGTTAGGTCATGTTAGGTAAGGTTGGGTTAGGTTAGATTAAGTTAGCTTGGGTTAGGTTAGGCTAGATTCTGGCTCTTTTTCCTATTTTCCTTAAAAGGTTTTTACAGAGAAACTGCATGCACATAACATCATTGTGGCAACAGTGCCAACAGGTGGGGATGTCGTGTCTTTGAAGTGCTTAGACGCAACCTATGGTTATCATTCAAGTTTAAAGGTTAGAGTGTACATGTACCTGTTTTCAGATTATCTACAACAGTTACTGCCAAAAGGGTTATTTATGTACAATGCTGTTTTGTAACATGAGATGCCTATGTCTACCTGTACCTAGGCAGGAAGTGAGAACTTATAATATATTTTGAGGTATCCGCGATATTAAAATGTACGAGCCGTGAAATATCGTCTGCACTCCGTCCGTCTGTGAGAGAAAAATGATAACGTAGCAATACTCACGACGCGCACAAATGCCTGCAACTTTCCGTATACAGACAATACAATCGTGGCGACCCTACAAGCTTATATGAAAACGCAACAGCACCACAACTGCTAACTGGCCTACGGTAGCTTATATAAACAAGAAACGCACCTGGGGAAACCCCCGATACCCACCCAAACGCAGCAGATGCCGCAGCTCCCCTAAGACGGTCGACGACACAACGTAAATCAAATCACAATAACGTCAGAATTGTCGCAACGCAAAACCACCATTGAAGAAGCAATCAGCAAACTTTATTATTTGCAGTAAATGACGTCAGTAAAAAATGATGTCGCATATTGTAAAAAAACCAAGTTTTTTAATCAAAATTAATAAATTATTTGGCCAAAAAACTTTGCATAAGAAATAAAACAACTTTCACTGATCAATTCGGCTAGATTTTGTCTTTAAGCAACATAATTCAGTAGGTGCTCTCGCGTGGCGCTGGTGGTGACTGGAAGCTGATTGCCGTAACCTTGACTGCAAGCGACTCGCAATCGCTTTTGTCGCCATATTGGATTTCGGGAGTGGAATCGTCAGTGGGGTTCTGGATCAGCGTTGTATAGTGAGAGGGACGCTGAATGAGTATAGCCAGTAGTGTATTAACAGGTGTCGAAGTGGGATTTTAAAATCCGGCAGTTTGTCTGTTGTTGCATATCCGTAACTGAGTATCGTTCAAGACATTGATATCCTGTGAAAGGTACGAATGTGACCTCATGATCACATGGAGGTCGTGCGGAAGAACCGTGATTGTGAGGCAATTGCGAGGTGGCATTTGTGTCCTTGCTCGTGTGTGCATAGGACTCAGGCTAGCCTAAACTGTGCTGGATTTTCAAGTATTTTGTTTTGTGGAAAAAGGCTTTGGTACAGTCTATCTGACAACCTGTCTGCCCTAACATCATTATTCCCAGTAGCATTTCCTCTCTGTTCTGAGATTTGTAATAATTATGTGCTAAGCTCTGGATGCTCAGGTTTTCTGTGTGTATGCCCTTATAGTTATACTGTGGTGTTTTTGCTCTACCTGACACGTCCAGCTTAGCATGAAGACTTGCAGCCTGGCCCAGGGGGGTGTCATCCGTATCATTTAGCATTATCAAAAAGTGGCAACATCAAGGTTGCGTGAGAATAGAGGTAGTTTGGAGGCAAAGCCTACATGACGTCATGTATACCATATTTGATGACGTCAGTGGCACGGAAGCCTCTCAGTTAGTCAGCTGACTGCTACACAACCCATTGGTTTGAATGGTGAGTATGTTTTGGGGCGTGCGGCTGGCGCTTCCCGGTTGGACTCTGAATGAATGGTCCATGGTTTTGTCATGCAAACACAATTCTGGAGGGGCGGTTGAATCTCAAAATAGTTTAACCTCATTAGAATTTTGCATTCTTCCATGGGGTGTACATAACTAGGGGTTAAACATCATGCAACATTTGTAGCGCATGGCGTTTGTAGCGCATCGCGTATTGCAGTTGTTTTGAGCTTTATTTCAGAGGGTTGCGACCAGTTGCCTTGACTACGCCTTGTACAAGAGATCTCCTGTGCAGTTTGTCTTGAACGATTGGTAGCATTTAAAATGCTCGGTCTGTGAATATTTCATTATGCATATGTGTACAACCCTTAAGTAGAAAACACTTGACTGTAACATCATAAGGCCAATATCATAGGGTTCTACTGTGCTTTCCTTACTGTACTCACATCACTGTGATAAGAGGAGTGGGAGCTATTACAAATCAGTGATGCAAATGGCCATATAATCATACCTATAGACAGAGCAAATTATGCAAGTTGAGCTGTTCAAATCTGCCACCAGGCACAAAAGGCACAGACAAGCCTAAGGCTATCTAATGACAAGCCAGCCTTGGACAAGCCTGGTCATGGAATGCAATACACCACAAACACCGCATGACATACAACCTCAAGTTATATCATACATGCAAAAATCGTACATTCTGATTAGGCTTAACTGTTCTAGGACTCCCTGTTCATTCCAGAAATGTGTGCGAATAGCAAAATGATGGATAACCTCTTCTCAGTCCAACAGGGAACCGCCAGCCGCATGCCACCAAAACATACTCACTATTCAAACCAATGGGTTGTGTAGCAGTCAGCTGGCTAGCTGACAGGCCTCCGTGCCACTGACGTCATCAAATACGGCATACTTGACATCATGCAGGCTTTGGTTCCAAACTACCTCCATTCTCACGCAAGCTCGATGTTGCCACTTTTTTGGACCGGACAGTTCTACCTCGTTAGAGAGCCTTGGCCTGGCCCCAACCCGGTCTGCAAAAATTCCATCCACTGTGCCGGGTGCATGTGTGATGCCAGTGTGCTAAATATCACACTTGAGTGCACAGGGCTGAGGCTAGTGAAATTGCACAGAATTTACATATGCTTGTTGATTTGCACACATGTAAAGTTTCCTGAGCTTGCCATCAGGAAATTTTTATGTTAATCTGTGAGAGGTCATTTTGCAATATGTTTAGATGTAGTCTATAATTAAATTTGGGTGGCAAAGGCAGAGAATGAAACAGAGTGCAAGCAAAAAGAAAATAAGAGGCAAACAGTAAATCTTCTGGGAGAAGGTTTTATTAATTAGATACATTTTGAGTGTAAAATCAGTGGAGGTGAAATTATGTTTGGTTGGGAGGCAGCATAATTATTATGTTTATTTTGGTAATTAAGACTCAAAAACTGTTCAAGGAAACATTGCTCTTATGGTGAGATGTCAGAAGTGTTGAATGAGTTGAATCTTATTGTTTTAGTTCTTAAATGTGACTCAGATAGTACACATTTTTGACTAATGACAACCAGCAGGATGACTAGGCAATACATGCAATTCTCATAATGGCAGTCCTATTGTTTGGACCACAGTTAAGTGGGTGCTTTGTTGGAAGTGTCCTTCGCTAAAAGACTGAGGCGTGAATCTGATGATCAGTGATCTAAACATGGAATGAAAAGGAGTGAGTCTGTACTAAGGTATGTTAATATTACTGAGCACCAAACATTGCTCTTTTTAAAGTTAGTGGGAGATGCTATGAAAATTTGAGAGATAGATTTATAAATGGCAATGAACTTGCTGCCATTAGATGGTATTCATGCTTGATTTGTTTATACCCCCTGAGACATATTGTTGTCCTGCAGTATGTTGAACTTGACACATTGTGTGGCTGACATGCCTTGGTTAGCAGGATTTGTGCTTAAACCTCTCTATTTTGCCATATTGATCCTTTAATCCTTACATCCTACTAATTTTTATCCTGCCTTACCATTCTCTTCCCTTCCTATCAATCATCGCATCATGTAGATGATAGTTATCTTGCATTATGATACTGATAACTTCCATTGTGATGTTTAGGTACATTTGGCTGTAAAGGCTGTTGAAAACTATCTCATTGATGTTCCCAGTGACTCATTTCATGGCCATTGCTCTGATTATTTACCTCATTGGTGCAATTATTTTGTGGGAGTAAGTTTTGATCAAATCTGAAACATCCTTTTGAAGGTGGCAGTTAGTTCTACACATAAGGATTATTGCAGCATCTGGCCGCATGGTGGGTTATTATCATGTATTTTGTATGGCATTTACAGGTCAGGATTCTATCTGGTGTGTTGATGGACGCCTTGGCTGGATATGAGAGTGATGGAGATTCAAAGGTGGGTTGATGGCATCTGCACATTAGGATGCCTGTTTTGACTGTTGTGCTGGTAGTCACTGGAAGTGCACCATGAGTTAGTGTGATAAGAGGGTGGTCATGGTTAGTTCCTGGGTGAGTAGGTTCAGGTTTGAATGCAGCATCATTACCTTTTAAGCATCCTGGGTCATCTGTTTGTGGTAGGCATAGTTGAAGTGAAATGCAATATTTCTCTTAAGTAGTCGGCAAGAAATTGACCATGTGAATTTGCATTGCTGATGTCACTGTGGATGATGTTTTTGTTTATGTACTCCTGACTTGTTTTAATATGTGCGACTCAAGGCTTATTGCCAGCTTTACTGTAAGTAGTTCACTTGCAACATGTGTAAACAAGCATTTGCACACTTGCTTTCCTGTGCTCAGTGAGAAAATGTAGAATTTTGAGTTACCTATCTTTTGCAGTTTGATTGATGGTTCTAGATGCTCTGGATATTGTGGTACAAAACAAATGAAACAGGTGCAAAACGTAAAAACGGTCGGAAGCGTTCGAATTCATGTTTGTGACTCGTGTGTGTGTGTGTGTGTGTTTGTGTGTGACATGCAGTGCGTGCAACATGACAATTCAAACGTATGCTCCGTAATACGTGCGACTGCAGCATTTTACACGCCACATCCTTTCGTGTCACGCCCAGGTCGCCCCGACCTGCCGTTGTCGAGATATTGGCGCGGGAAGGCATAATCGGTGGTAGGCAGATAACCGCGGCGGCCCGCCATGGGATCATACGGCCGTTGAACATCGAATCACCGCTGGTGTCGGCTGAGACAGTGGACAGCGCCGTTCGTCGCGGTGCAAAATGCCGCCATGCAACCCAGTAGGCTAGGTTCATTTGGGGGCGAATCATTTAAAATGTGATTAACAAAAAAGGGTGGTTAAGAGAGGGAATGAATCGGCCAACACGCTGATGTATTTTTCAACGCTAGATTACGAAACATTTTGACAGTAACGGCTTGCATTCGGCGCCGACTTTTAAAACTTGGCCGCTTGCCAATTGCATTGCAATTTACACCGCAGCGGCGAGTTGCACAAACTCGGGATGTGCACTGAAAGTGTAGCTGCTTAAATTATAAATGCTGGGAAGAAAATGCATGCCTCTACCTGCACTGTGTGCCGACAGATACCCCAAAACGTAAAAATCTGTCAAAACCGGGAAAATTTATCTTTTCACCACATTTATACGTGCCACGTACAGCGTGGCAGCACCAATGCGATGTCATCCAATGGCACTTTTGATTGTCTATCTGAACGTGGAAGTTTCATGTCGCTGCGATCCTTGGTTATCGAGACATGGCTCCGGGAGTGGACGCGGGTCGTGCCGTCGTCCGGTGGTCGCGAAAGTTGCTTCGGCCGTGTAAAGCCGATGGAGATTTGGCCGTCTTTTTTCCTCACCACGGGCTCGTTTTTGCGAAATACGGAATCGGACTTGCCACTCCTCGCTTTGTCAGATTTCTGCCATATCTTTAAAATGGTAAGTGAAAGTAAATCGGAGTTGCTGTCTACAGGTTCTGAAACTGCAGAGGTGTAAAAATGATGTAGTTATGTGCGGACTCAGCTCGGCATTTGCTTGTGGAACATGATTTGGGCAGTTGTATTTAAATCCCATTATTTTTGCAGATGTCCACCGACAAGTTGGCAAACTACGAGAATGTTGAGATGGACATAAGTGAGGTGAGAACATGCGCATACTTTTTCCCCTTATGTATCGTAAAACTCGTTTTTTTGTTTTACATTTATCATTATTTATGTGTCCACACCAGGTACGTGTTACTGGGAAGGCAATATTTGGTCGGATTCTCCAGGTAATGGCTGTGCAATATTTTATGTGTTTTGGCAAGTCAGTTCAGTCGGGAGCACATTCTTGCAGTGTACCGGTGGCATTATCAGCTTCATGTTTGAGAAACCGAGCATTGCCAGTGTCGAGAGTTGTTTTTGGGGGATGCAGATCAGTGTATGCGTTTGCGGGATCGCGTTCGTGATATTAACATATTCTGTTAAATTACTATATGTAAAGTCAACTGTGGAACCCTCGGGCCAAGGGCCGCATAGTCGTCCGGTGGGTTCAAGACTGCGGACACGTAAGTACCAACACGGTGACGTATAACTCAGCCACAAATGGTTCCTCTGTTCTCATATTGCCGCGCGCATTGTCCTTGAAGTCGCTGTTAGTTGTATCAGTACCTTTTAAGTCAGCCCATATGCTTTGTTGTAATGGCCTTCGTAATAAGCACACATGTAATATGAGATTGTGGCACTTGGTTCTTAGTTATCTGATCTCGGTACTCCCGTGTGTTAAACAATAAAGTATGTGTGTTTGATGTGAGACCATTGTCTGAGAGTGCTTAAAGATCGGAGTATTGGCGAATGGTGCTACACGAGTGATATGTTTACAGTTAATGTGTGTTGTCTCAAAGTTATTTAGAATGTAAAGTTGTGGGAACTAACGGTGTGGTTTTCGTTGGCATCGTTTTGCGATTGGAAACCTTTTGCAACAGTATTTCGGTGGTTTAAATACTTGAAGGGGTGGTGCTGGGATCAGCTGCGGCTGAGAATTGCGTAGTGGGAAGACCCTGACCTGAGCCTGATCCCACTAACCCACCACAACAGTTCCACTCCAGTGAAAGGTTGTTGACCTTGGTCTGTTGCTATACATTGGGGAAGTATTTCTCCGTGCTCGGCAGCGTCTTGGTGCGGTCGTCGCGTGCGGCTTTGCAGTGTAGTTTCAAAGCTAATCCAGTTAGATGCCAAGGATTTAAATATAACTTCATGTTACCGGACTTATTGCCCCCGGCGGCGTCCGCGCCCGTAACATTTTGTGAGCTGTCAATTTGTTGCATTTTGACCCCGAATCCTGACGTCCTGGCGTTGCCTGCCTGAATTGCCAAGCCCGAGGTGCCCAGATGCCGGGTTTTCGGCCGTCCGGCTCGATCCTGAGGGACGATCCCAGTGAGAGGTGGAGCGACAGACAGTGAGCCGCGCCGGGGATGTGATGGAATTAATAAATATCTGCTTCGGGCCCTTTGATCATGTACTTGGATACCGTTGGCTCGTGTTTTGTATCGCATAGGCATAAACTTCAGCCTCGGCTTTCGGTTCATTTGCATTTATTTTATAAATATTTGAGGGCATTTCGCTGGATGAGACATGGTGACATTTTCCCAGTCCTGGGTTGGCGTAAATAATGATGTTCGTAATCCAGATGTAAGTGATACATACTAAGCAGGCATATATATTTCGGACAGATTTAGCCGCCATGATAGAAATTTGAGCACAGGGTTTATTTGTAGCACTTTGAAGGGCAGTTACCAGTGACCCGCGGTACACTGGCACCAGCTTAGGTTTGACGCTTTTTACCATGTGGCACCTGAAGTAGCTACCGTTTCTCGCATTGGAAGTCTAACTTAAAAGAATCGGCGAAGTGGTCACAAAAGCAGCTTGGTTACCATTCTTAAGTCTGGTGACAAGAGCGCAGCTTAAGTGGCAGACTATTGCATCTATACTCCGCACCTCTACAGTTCATGGTATCAATTCTTCCGGATGCGTAATGACTTAACACTGTGTCTGAAGGTTCTCGTAGTTTCGTGTTGGTTCTCGGTCGTGACCATTTCCGTGCTGTTGTGGCGCGAGACAGCGGGCTGGCCCCCTGGCGGGGACCCGTGCCGCCGTTTGTCAGGGCCGGTGTGTGATGGCTCCCGGGCGCCGCGGTCAGGATTAGCCAGCCGACTGATGGGGCGGGTGGTCGGCGTGTCGGCCCCCGCCGCCCGCGCCACAGTCAGGGGCAGGGCCACAGTCAGCAGCGAGCGTGCCGACATGCATGTCTGGCTGTGTTTGTTCGCCGTGTCGGTGGTGTCGGGCCGTCGCTGAGCGCTGGTCGGCCCCGCCCTGGACTCTGTTGGAGACGGCGTTCGCTCTGTCGGCAGGACTCGAACGACGCCGAGCCGCCACGGCCGGCGCCCCGGGACGCACGCGGCACCGCCCCCGCCCCCGCCCCCGCGACCGCCGCTGCCTCCGCCGCCGCCGCTGCCGTCCGCCGTGAGCCCAGGTGAGCGTCGCCACGCGCTAGGCCGCTGGCCCCAGAACGGCACGCAGTTGTATTGCATTCTTCCGTTTTCTGTACAATGGTCACAATAAAGGCTGTGTTGAACTTCCGTGTTCCGTCTTAGACCTCATACAGCCGAGTGTCCATCTGTTGTGTCGTGATTTATGGGCGAGCTTTAGCTTGAGAGGTGTTACGTCTTGAGCTTGAGTGCGTCTCACGCCGTCGTATCTCGCGCCGTGATATCGCAGAAAGAATGTGTCGTGTGCTCCGTCGGGACCACGCGCGGACGTGGCGTGTGCCCCGTCCGGACCATGGATGTGTCGTGTACTCCGTCCGGGCCATAGACGTGTCGTGTGCCCCGTCCGGACTATGGATGTGTCGTGTGCCCCGTCCGGACCATGGATGTGTCGTGTACTCCGTCCGGACCATAGACGTGTCGTGTGCCCCGTCCGGACTATGGATGTGTCGTGTGCCCCGTCCGGGCCATAGACGTGTCGTGTGCCCCGTCCGGACTATGGATGTGTTGTGTGCCCCGTCCGGACTATGGATGTGTTGTGTGCCCCGTCCGGACTATGGATGTGTCGTGTGCCCCGTCCGGACTATGGATGTGTTGTGTGCCCCGTCCGGACCATAGACGTGTCGTGTGCCCCGTCCGGACTATGGATGTGTTGTGTGCCCCGTCCGGACTATGGACGTGTTGTGTGCCCCGTCCGGACCACCCACTGACACGGCTCCCGTTACGGTAGCCTGTGCTGTTTTCAGGGCCTGTGGATCCGGCACTGGCAGTGGGATGTCACCTGACGTAGCCGCTTCCACCACCACTGCCACCACCGCCGCGCCACCGCTGCCTACCACGACCACCGCGGCCCCGGCGGACTCCAGCCGGAGGGAGCCGGTTCCGGGCGCGGCGGCCGGCCCCGGCGCTAGTCACGACAGAGACGGCGCCCGCCGCGAGCAACGCGACAAACGGGACAGTGATAGGGACAAACGGGACGGTGAAAGGCCCAAACGGGACGCTGAGAAGGACAAGCGTGACGGTGAAAAAGATAGACGGGATAGTGGAAAGGACAAACGGGAGAGCACGCGGGAGAAACGGGAAGAGGAGAAGAGCAGGCATGGCAACAGTCGAGACAAAGAGCGTGGCAAGGATTCCGATCGTGTTAAGGATAGCGAGCGTGGCAGGCGGGACAGTGATCGTGATAAGCGCGACAGTGATCACCACAAGAAGGACGGCGACCGTCACAGGAAAGACAGCGATCGTCACAAAGGCGACAGCGACCGCCACAAGGGGGACAGCAAGCGCGAGTCTGATCGCGGCAAGACCGACCGTCGGGACGGCGACCGAGATAAGCGGGACGGGGACCGGGACCGGCGGGACAAGCGGGACAGCGACAAGGACCGGCGGGACAGGCGGGATCGGGACAAGAAGAGCGTGCATGACCGGCGCGGCAGCCGGGATGATGACCGGCGAGACCGGGACCGACACTCCAGCCGGGACCGAGACCGGGACCGGGACCGGGACCGGGACCGGGACCGGCGCAGCCGGGACCGACGCTCCGATAAGAAGAGCTCGCGCAGCCCCGACCGCAAACGGCACGCCAGGTGTGTGGCGACCGCAGTTTGGGCACGCACCCGTGATTCGTTCTGTGGTGTCGGTTCAACATTTCATTAATCTGCGATTGGAGTGGTGTACTGCCGTGCTTGCCTTTTCAGACACGATATGTGCCTGCACTAATATGGATGCTTCTGGGTTGTGTTGGAATGGTACATCAGAACGTCAGAATCACTTCAGAATGACACGTCATCCATGTGTAAGGTATGATGTTTGTGTGCTGGACGTGTTTCAGCTCCGAGGAGGGTGGAGACAGAAAGCGGCCCCTTCCGGCGGCGCCGGGGCCGGCCTTGCCGGCACCCTCCATGCTAAACCCCTTCCCTTATAAAAAGAAAAGTCCCGGACCAGACAAAGACAAAGTCAGAGAAAGGCTGGAGAAGCTGCGGAAGCAAGGTATGTTCGCGGCGTGTGCAATAGTCACGCATTACTGGTTCGAGTGCATGGGCGCCATATGACCGTGGTAGTCGGCGTGCCCAAAGCCCAAATCACTATCATCACCAGTTTAGGTGAACCGGGCAGCGGTCCATTGTGCAAGATAAGTTTGCGACAATTCCGTTTCGAGCATCGCGGTGACGTTTTCTGGTCAGATTCCTTTGCTAGCTTCCATTGCTGTGCAAATATATGGCGCGTGTTCTTTTCGCCACGCATTGTTTTTTTTTTATTTCGACGAGTTAATGCCAGGTGCCGTCTTGTCATCCTGTCTATGGCCCATCCCCCCCCCCCCCCCTTTTCTTCTGGCGCTGTCTTGTATCAGCATCATGTCTATGGTCCATCCCCTCGGTTCTAGCGCTGTCTTGTGTTAACATGTCTATGGCTCCTCCCTCCGTTCTTTTGGCGCTGTTTCGAGCCCCACCTTGCCTTGTGTCCGACTCTGTCCATGCCCAGTGCCGGTCCGTATCCACCTGGTCCGTGTCCGCCCTTGGTCCGTTCCAACCCTGGTCCGTGTCTGAGTCTGGTCTTTGCCCGCCCCCGGTCCGTGTCCGGTTCTGCTCCTTGTCCGCCCTCGGTCCGTGTCCGTCTCCGGTCTGTGTCCGCCCCCTGTGTGTGACTACTCTGGCCCTTGTCCGCTCGTGGTCCGTGTCCGACTCTGGTCGGTGTCTGACGCTGGCCCGTGTCCGAATCTGGCCCGTGTCCGGCGCCGGTTCATGTTCGCCCGCAGCCCGTGCCCTACTCTGGTCCTTGTCCTGCTCTGATCCTTGTCCGACTCGGGTTCGTGGCCTACTGGGGTCCGTGTCCGACTCTGGTTCGTGGCCTGCTCGAGTCCGTGTCCGCCTCTGGTTCGTGCCTGACACTGGCTGGCGCCGGGCGCTGGCAGGAGGCCTGCAGACATACCAGCAGATCATGAGCGGGATAGCGCAGCCGCCGGTCGGCTCCATGCTGCCGCGTTACTACAATCAGACGGCGCTCAACGCCGCCAAGTTCGCCGACCAGGAGCGCAAGAAGAAGCTGCTCTGGGGAAACAAGGTGAGGCGCGGGGTCGCCGCCACCGCGTGGGATGTGCCCGGAGTGCACTGAATGCGCAACGAATACAAAACGCCCTGTGAAAACGGAGGCGTTTGTTGGCTGTAGATGTGTAGTTCATATGAATAGATGTGTATATATATATATATATATATATGTATATATATATATATATATATATATATATATATATATATATATATACATATATGATATATTTGTGTGTGAAATTTTGTGTTTGCATTCAGCTTTTATTTTTCGGAACTCTGGTTGCATGCTGTCTGTCTGACCACTGTCGCGAACATGACGTGCTCCTCATTTGGCCACGCCCACTGCCCTGGATTCTAGCAGACACATGCTATTTGTCATCCAGTCAGTGCGGTCGAGCTTCAGCCGTTCTCGCGACTGACCTGCCCTCGGGCATTGGCGCCTCGGCAGAAGGCGGAGCTGGACCAGCAGCAGGCAGCGACGGCGGCGGAGGTCGCTCCCGGCGCCTGCGCGGCCGGCGTGTGGAAAACGGCCGCGTTCGAGCAGGACAAGGACGGCAAGGTGGCCACCAAGTTCCTCCGGCTGATGGGTGTAAAGAACGCCGAGGGTACGTGTCGCCTGTTGGCGCCCGAGGGCAAGGTGTAGATCCTGATTTCGATGTTCCAGTCACATGTTCAAAGGATCCATCTTGTATGTGTGACTGGTATTAACTTAGCAGTTAAAAACACTCGCAACTAGCTTGGCGCGTATGTCAGGCTATGTTCCCTTTTCTGTAAAAAAATAATATGTCTGACATCGCGACCCAATCAAAATAGTCATACACACTGTCGTGCTATACACACTGTCGTGTTCAGTGTTTTAGGACTTTGAACCGTTCATATCCGCCTTCCGTTGAGCATTTCGCCGCCTGACCTGAGCTTAAGGGCAACACACTTTACACCAAGCACATAGGTCACTGATCCGTTATAGCGGCAGTCAATAGCGGACAGTGGGTTGCAACATGAGCTCACTGACTTTTCTTCCCGACTTCATCAAATTGTCACGGAGCCGCGTCATATTAATGGTGTAAAGAACGTATGAATCACGGACGACAGGGACAAGCTGCGCATCATGGCTGTCGCGCTCCGCTCAGTCTGTGCGGAGCTCGGCGAGAGGCCAACGGCGGCAAGGCTACCGAACGGCCATCAGGTGGCCACATTCGGGTCTTGATTTATCCCTGCTTTGCACAGTGACAAAATCATGGGGAAAATCCTGAGTTCTTCAAAGTTGAGGACAGTGTGTGCCGTGACGTCACTGGCTGGCGGCGCTGCCTGTGGGTGCTGTGACGTCATTGGATTGCGGCGCTGTTTTCTGGGCGCCGTGACGTCACAGGACAGTGGCGCTGCCTGTGGGCGCTGGCTATAGGCGCTGTGAAATCACTGGATGGCGGCGCTGTTTGTGGGCGCCGTGGCGTCACTGGACAGTGGCGCTGCCTGTGGGCGTTATGACGTCACTGGACAGTGGCGCTGCCTCTGGGCGCTATGACGTCACTGGACAGTGGTGCTGCCTGGGCACCGTGCTGACGGCCTCTCTCTCTCCCGGACAGAGGTGGCCTCCCAGAACACGGAGGCGTCCGAGGTGGTGGAGAAACAGAAGAAGATGTTCCAGGACATGGAGCAGCAATACGAGCAGGCGCGCGTCACCACGCACACGCAGAAGGGCTTCGGGCTGGGCTACACGACACAGTACTTGCAGCCCAAGTCGTAGTGACGCGCCAGGGGCCTGGCGCCCTCGCGGCGCTGTGCGCAGCGCACGGCACGGCGAGCGCCCCGTCGTGTGGTGCTCCCACGAACTGTGTCTCGTCTGCGTTTTACGCGTTCTCGGTCGACCGCGGCAGATCACACAGTGTCGACTTGCCGACAGTGTTGTCAGCTGACGTATGTTATGTGGTGTTCCTCTGTGAGAGACAACCTGTGCTCGTTGTAATCGCTCATTGGCATTCTGCATCGATTTGCCGCTGGGCAGGGCGACGGCAGTGGGGCTGCGGCAGTATCTGCGCCCGAACTGCTCGGCAAGCCTCGAATAAGGATTGGTGCCAGCTGCCGATCGGCTAGTGCGGGGTCGACTAATCCATACGCATGTTGTTATTGCCCCGTGTGTGTGTGTGTGTCCTGGCTGCCACGGACTTGCTCGTGCATTACAGTCGACATGGAGCTCCCGCCGTGTTCGGTAATAAATCTGTAGAACGACGGTGGCTCTTTCGCCGAAACACTGCCGGGAGGGCCATCTTTCCTGTTGGGGTGCCCTTTCACTTACTGACGTCGCATTGCACCTCTGCTAGTTGTCTCGTATATGAATGGAGTGCGGCCTTCACTTGGGGATGGAAGTACAGTTGCCGCTGTCAGTGTGCGCATGAACAGCAATATATGTGGCAAGCGAGGACTAGGAAGATTATTTTTGGGAAGACGGGCTGTGCATCGGAATATTCACCAGCGCATGAACTGGGGTCCGTCAACGAGTTCATTCCTGGCCTCTCAAGATCACATTAAGGTCAGATTCGGGCTTAAATGACTCAAATGAACCAAAAACTGCATATCACGCAAAGGACGTGAACTTCATATCACTCCAAAGTTACCAGTAGATTTTCATCCTTAGCATCAGATCGTCTTCCGCGCATATAGGTGCGTCTGTAAAGAAGCCCTGACCCCGCAGTCATCCTTCAAGGTCAAATTACGGCTCAGTTGACGTACGTAGAACTGCGTGCGCAATGGAGCTTCCCGTCCTTGTCTTGCCGGAAGTCAACCTCGCATGGTGACGCTGGAAGGCCAGGACCCTGACGGACACTAGGCCATACGATAGGGAATGTTCTGTTTACGAATCCGAGGTTGTCCAGGAAGTGATTGATTTTGAGCTCCCCGACCTTTGATTCTGAATTTTATCGAAGGATAGCCTAAAAAGGGTGGTGCATTTTGACGGACGCTGGGTCGTGCGCTGGTGGATATTCTGGGGCTTCAAAATCCAAAATCAGCCTGTAGCTTTTAAAGGGTAACATTTAAAGGGAGTGTTCGACATTTGTATGGGGCTTCGAAATGGATAGTGATCACGGAGATCATTCGGTGCAGTTCGCAGCCCTGCCCCTCTTAAGACCTAAATCGCTCTAGTTTCTGAACTAAGATGTGCAGACTATTTCGGGGAGACTATTTAAAGGTAACCTAGGCATCCAAGACGTCATTATAACGTCATTAGACCCTGGCATTTCTTAAGCCATGCGATCCAGGCCAAAAAATAAATTGTCGAGCCACTCATATCCGGCGTTCGTGAGCGTGGTTTACAGATAAAACGGCCGTCAGTTGGTTCCCAATCAATGTTGTGCAAGGCACGGTCCCGTAATCAAATAATAACGCGTCGAGAAGCACATTTGCTAGCCAGAGAAAAAGTGTTGTGCAGAGCAGTCTTTTCCACTCAACATATGCAAATGGTTTGTGATGTGATTGTGCAGGGTGTGCGCCCTCGCCCTCGCTGTTTTCCGAGCTCTACATCTGACGGGGTGCCAGGAGGCGTCACGTAACCGCGGATTTCCTGATTCGCCGGGGGTCAAGGGTCGGCCGCTGAGGCGGCGGCAGGGACCCGACGCTCGCAGGCGCCAGTCGGTTTTTTGACAACTCCAGGCGAATACATGCTACGTTCTCTTACAAGCTATTTCGGCCATCATGCCCGAAATCGCCGCGGCCAGTTGCTACGCTGTGACAATGACTGCTGCGAGTGTCCCAGCGCCAGTGATGTCGATTACTACGGCCGGAGTGGACAGAGGGGGCCGCGGTGACTGGTGGAGGTCCATTCGACGCGCGGCTCATCCCCGAGTGCGATGGCACGGCCGACGTCGTAGAGTGCTTCACAAGGGCGGCCGTGCTCTGCCGTCATCGTGGAGCGGACTTGCCCAGCATTCTGCCGGCGCGACTCACGGGTGGCGCGTTTGCCGTCTGGCTGTAGATGCCGGGGCAGGCGCGCGCATCGAGTGACGCCGTGCGTGACGCTCTCTATGACGTATTTGCGATGATTCGGTTTGCCGAGTGCGACGCATATACCAGCCGACGGCTGCTGCCTGGTGAGTCGCCTGACGTGTTCCTGGCGGACCTACAGCGTCTCGCAGCTCTGCACTGTGGGGTTCCGGAGAACGTGCTCACGTGCGCTTTTGTCGCCGGCCTGCCCGACGAAGTGCGAAGGACTGTCCGCACTGGCTCCCAGGTGGAGGCTTTGAGTCTGGTGGACATCCTGGTGCGAGCCCGCGCAGTGCTGAGCGACGAACGTGCGGCAGCGGCAGCGGCAGCGGCTAGAGCGCACGAAGAACGAGGAACCCAACAGGCGCGACCGGCAAGGCGACCCGTCCGGAAGTGCTGGACCGGTGAACAGGCGGGTCACCTGGCAGCGGCATGCCCAAAACGTCCAGGCGCTGCGTTGGCGCCAGCGCAGTCTCCCGAGCAGTAGCGCGCGCTCTACCAGTCGTGATACTGCTGGTGGACCAGGGCCCCCAGTGTGCCCTGCTCGACACGGAATGTACGTACACCCTGGATCACGTGAGCTGCTGCCGCACGTGGCGCCCGTGCGCGGTCAAGATGCGAACGGTGAACGATGGAGTGTTGCGGTGCGTGGGCACCGCCCAAGTGACGTTCGACTACAGAGGCAAGCGAGTAATGCTCGCGGCGCTGGTGGCCCCAGATCACAGTTCGGTTCGACGGCGCTCACTGGAGTGTGGCATGGAAGTGGGCGCACGGACGTGGTCCCGAACGTCTGGCGAACACCGTGAGTGAATGCGCTCTACCGGCTGAAGCACGAGAGGCCCACGAGCGCGAGTTAGCTGAATGGGTGGCGAACGGATGGCCCCGGCCCTATGACGAGCAAGAGGACGGACCCGCTCGGCGCCTGATTTCCTTGATGGCAGCTCAACAACTGCACAAGAGGAAGCTCAGGCCGGTATTGGACGACCGCGAACTCAACCGACATGTGACCGCGCACGCCACGTATGCCGACGTGTGCGCCGAGCAGCTGCGCCGCTGGCGCCAGCATGGTGCCCGGTTGGCCATGGTCGACCTGCGAAAAGCGTACTCGCAGCTGCGTCTGGAGCGCCGACTGTGGCCGTATTAGACGGTGCAGATTAAGGGCCGCACCTACAGCCTCATGTGGCTCGGATTCGGCCTCAATATGGCGCCGTTGATTATGAAGGCCGTTGTTCAGGCGGTGCTGCGTGAGAACGAAGAGATCTGCCGGGCAGAACGAGGAGATCTGCCGGGGAGAGCTCGCCTGTGCAGACGACCTGCTCGCCGACGAAGACGTGGTCAGTGCCGGCAAGATGGTGGAGCTCTTTGCGAGGCACGGGCTGGCCTGCAAGCCGCCGGAGCGCGTCGCGGATGGAGCACGAATGCTCAGCCTTCGAGTCGAGGCTCGGGAGGATCAGCTGCGGTGGTGTCGAGACAGTATGTGCCTCCAACGCCGACCGAGCTCGCCCGGCGTGCAGTGTTTGCGTGGTGCGGGCAGTTGGCTGGTGGGGGCAATTGTGCGGGGTGTGCGCCCTCGCCCTGGCTGTCTTCCGAGCTCTACATCTGACTGGGTGCCGGGGGGCGTCACGTGACAGCGGGTCTCCCGATTCTCCGGAGGTCAAGGGTCGGCCGCTGAGGCGGCGGCAGGGACCCGACGCCCGCAGGCGACCGTCGGTTTGTGGACGGGCCCAGGCGGACACACGCTATGTTCTCTTGCATGGTTAGAAGTTAGCTGATTTCATCATATATTATGCTTGCTTTATCTTTAAATGTGGGCATTCTATTTCACCATGCGTTTGCCCTTGGTTGCATGACAATCCAAAAAACGTGTCAGGCTCGAGTTGTTTTCGTTCAGTTATTGGCCACCTTACCGGTATTGTAGCTAAATCGGAATACCTCGTACAGTGAATCGTTAAGTACAGGGATATTCTTAATTTTGACTTGAAGAGTGACCTGGAGTTGGCAGGGCTGATTGACGTACTCTAGTTCATACACTAGTGAATATTTTGATGCCAAAAAATCTGAAACCAGTCTGTAGTTTTTAATTGGTATTCTGCTCCCCGTCCATTCAACCGGCATTGGATCTTTGAAGTGTTGCCTTGAGAGGTCATGAAACTTTTTGCATGGCGGTAGTTCACGCGCTGGCACATATTCCGATCCTTACAGATCTGAACTCGGCTGGCAGCTTTTGGGCAATATTGGAGAGTGTTCTCATCCGTTGAGTCGATATTTGACCTTGAATGGCGACCTAGAGAGGTCCGAACTCAACGACGGAAGCTAGTATGTGCTCCCACCGATGGCGAGCTGCATGAGCGTAGGAACAGGAGGGCCAGGGGGGGGGGGGGCATGGCCCTCCATTTTCCAAGGTGGGGGCCAGCAGTGTTAACTGACCCTCTCCCCCCAATTTTCAGATTAAGGTTGCGTTTAGCTTTATTTTGCACTATGTTCAATATACATGCCAATTTGCCTAGTTCATCAAGATGTGTCATCTTTTCCGTTTGCTTATTGGCGATCGCTTTGTGTCACGGCCACAGGCCGAGGTCGTGCGGGCCATGGAGACTGCAACGCCGGGCGTCGAGGCTGCTGTTGCTATGACTCGCGAGCGCGCATGTTCAAAACCATATTGCATAGTTTTTTTTTATCAGCAATCAATTCTGACTGCATCTTGAATATCTTAAGACGAACATGGATTAGACATGCTAATGCAAATTTGGGACCCCATTCTATCTACAATGTACGTTGAGGGAGTCTTCAATATCTCTGAAGAAAACATGAAACGGTAGTCTATGTGACAATGATTTGACCACCTGCGACAATCAGACATGTTGCTGCGTTAATGAGGGTTGCTTCGCTGATCCGGGGCCAACTGTGCAGGTCAGAAGGCCTCCCGTGTCAGGGAGGGGAACAATGTGAATATGATGCAACCTTCTTATGGCCTCTGGATCGACCAGGAGGTCCCGCCCCGTGTCGCTAAAATGACAGACAGAAGACACTTCGCGATGGGACGGAGTGGCCCTTCAGCCCTTGACCGGAACTGGTCATGTGCCCCTGGCGTTCTACTTAAGGGCCCCCTGACCGGGAGAAAAAAGGGATCTGATTATTGGTGAGTAGAGTTATCATTATTGTTGACTAGAGTGGGTCGAAACAAATTGTTAAAAAAACGAACAGGGTAACCACATGTTTGCTTGAGAGTGTTCATTTTTCAAAATGGATTAGC